CCCCCCCTCCCAGAGGTAACTATTGCTGTTAATAGTTTTCTGCCTCCTTCCAGTCCTCTGGCTATGCCTTTACAGGGATGCAATTGGTAATAGTGGTTTCCTCTAAATAGAATTCTGTAAAAACAGTTATTTCCTCTGATTTCTATGGCATATTGCACATTCTCCTTGGAGTTCCGCCCTGTCTTCTGACAAGCTTTGGACTTCAGCATTTCTACCAGAGGTACCTGTAGAAGGCGTAAGAGAAAACTAAAGAAAATTTTTTTTAATCCTAAAATTCTTTTAGTGACTTAAGTGTTCAGCCATTGACCAAAAAATTGCTGCTAATGAGATTTGGGACAGTCTGGTTCACCATATAGCCAGCACTTACTCTGAGCTTACTGTGTGCCTGGCATAGCAACCAAAAAGGTGGGTACTATTAATATCAAGGAAACTTGAGGCTGGTGCCATAATTTGGACCCAGATCTGGCTGACTTCAGACCGTATGCTGTTCACTACAATTCTAAGGGGGTTGGATTATCCTTTCTAAACTGAGTAGTACTTTATTAGGCACTTTTTCTCTGTTTTGTATCAGTTAGAATCCTTTTATGTAGTGTGTAGTTCAGAGAATATTTTAGTTTTAATACTGACCACTGATTTCAAAAAACCATTTTTAAAAAATGTTGTTTGCTAGTTCTGTTACTATATTAAAATTCAGATTTTATCTGGTGTTTTCCTTACCCATTGGAATTAAATCCTAGTTGTAATCAACAGTTTGATTTGGGGCATGGGTACCCACACTACAGCTGACTGACCTCCCCACCCCCACTGCTTTTGTAAATAACTTTTTATTAAAACAAAACCACGCCCATTCGCATATGTCTTGTCTGAGGCAGCCTCAAATACAGTAGCAGAGGTGAGAAGCTGCAACAGAGGGTGACCCACCAAGCTGAAAATAATTTCTGGCCCTTTAAGGAACACTGATTGAGGTCATCAGTTTTTAAAGCTACTCTGGTGAAACCCAGCGTGATTTGGAGGAAACATTAATACTTGATTTGATTCAGAAAAATCTCAAGTCTTTCAAGTCCAAAGGAATAAAATGTGATAATGGTTTTAATGTCCTCATGAATGAAATTTCAAGTTAAAACTTTTTGAAGACCGCAAGTTGTCTATTTGCTGGTGTCCAGATATTAACCCTGATCCTACTTCTCACTGACCAAGTCTGTCCTTTGCAGGAAGACTACAAGTCTTCTGTCAGTTTGGGGAGCCTGGGTGGCTCAGTTGGTTAAGCGTCTGACTTTGGCTCAGGACATGATCTCATGGTTAGATTGAGTTCGAGCCCTGCATCGGGCTCTGTGCTGACATCTCGGAGCCTGGAGCCTGCTTCGGATTCTGTGTCTCCCTCTCTCTCTGCCCCTCCCCTGCTCGCACTCTCTCTCTCTCTCTCTCTCTCAAAAATAAACAAACATTATTAAAAAAAAAAAAAAGCTTCTCAGATTAAAAACAAAAAGTTCTGTCAGTTCCCTGGGCTTAACTGGTGGTAACAAGAATGCACTTGCAGGGGCGTGTAAAGGTCTCCTCATGGGACTCTAATGTTTAAAGGAGGAGTTAGAGGGACACCGAACCTTCCCGAGGAGGTGGGCACTGCTCTTCCACACCCTCTGTCCTCTGGAGCGGCCTCAGCTGCAAACCAGTCTGGATACCTGTCAGCTGGCGAGAAGCTCAACCAGCTATTTTGGGACAGAAACAAATACTCAGGCAAACGGCCAGAAGCTGTTGTTTCCTTCTGTGCCAATGCTCACTCCTCAGCGAGGGCAACCTCTCTTAAGCGGGCACACCTTCCCATTTCACGCTACGCTGTGCTTCCTCTAGAGCATCGTCCTGCTCTCCAGGCCCTTTTTGTGCTCACAACTCATAAGTGTTGTGCAGCATCGGCGGCCCTTGGGCACTTGCTAGAGCCTCACCCCTACTCAAACCTGTTGACTCAGAATCTGCCTTTACCAAGATCCCCAGGTGATTCCTGTGAACATAAAGTTTGAAAAGCACTGCTGGGGGCGCCTGGTGACTCGGTTGAGTGTCCGACTCTTGATTTCGGTTCAGGTCATGATCCCTGAGTCCTGCCGGCCTCACTGGTCCAGGATCCTGCTTAAGATTCTCTGTCTCCTCTGTCCCTTCCCCTCTTGTGTGCTCGCTCACTCTCTCTCTATCTCAAAACAAGAAAAGTACTGCTGTACATCCATCCTTTCCTTCTCCGCTGGCTCTGCCTTTAACCACAGGAGGAAGTACAAGATTATATGTTGTGAACTGTCTCCACTTCTCTGTCCGTCTCTCCTGTGTGAGCCTAACCCCTGCAGGTATGCACTCCTGCTCCCGCCTCTTGCCCCCTCAAGATCCGCCTCCTTTTTATCTAAAGCCCCCTCCTTTTTGGGTCCCTCCTCTAGTTTGTATTTGCACTCTGGCCACTCGGCTTCAAAAAGTAAACAGATCAATACTTGGCTTGACTTTGCTCCTCTCTACCTCATCCCCATCCTCCTCTCCCTCACAGTTAAGCTTCTCGAAGGATTCATGTACTTCATGTTATCGATTCCCATTTTTTTCTCAACCCACTTCATCCTAGCTTTTGTTCATTCCTTGTCAGAACTTTTCTTACTGAGGTGATTTAATGACCTTCTAATGACCAGTTTTTGTTTGTTTAAAGTTTATTTATTTATCTTGAGAGAGAGAGTGGGGGCAGAAAGAGAGGAAGAGAGAGAACCCCAAGCAGGCTCTGCATTATCAGCTCGGAGCCCAACACGGGGCTCAGTCTCCCCAACTATGAGATCATGACCTGAGCCAAGATCAAGAGTTGGGCGCTGAGCCAACTGAGCCACCAAGACTGAGCCACCAAGGCAGTGCTCTAATGACAAATTTTTAAAAAATTCGACACTGGATCTTTCTCACCTTGAAAGCCCTTCCCTGTCTTGGCTTCTGTGACGCTTACCTCAGGCTTAACCTCTTACCCATCTGTCTCCTCCTTTGCCTTTCTGGCTCCTTATCTCCCAGAGTTGTCTTGATTTTCGTTTCTTCTGGCTGCACAAAATCTTTCTGGCATTCTCTTCTATGGCCAGGCTGTTTCCTCCACCCCATGCTTTTCACTCCAGACTTGATTATTCCAGTTCAGTCCTTGGTCATAAGCCTTTTTTTTTTTTTTTTTTTTTTTTTTTTTTTTTTGACGTTTATTCATTTTTGAGAGAGAGAGAGAGCGAGCAAGCAAGCAGGGGAGGGTCAAAAAGAGAAGGAGACACAGAATCTGAAGTAGGCTTCAGGCTCTGAGCTGTCAGTACAGAGCCCCATGTGGGGCTTGAACCCACAAACCACGAGATCATGACCTGAGCCTAAGTTGGATGCTCAACTAACTGAACGACCCAGATGCTTCTAAGCCTTTTTTCTTTTTTCTTTTGGTTTAGCTGTTCATACTTGTCAGAATTTTGTGTGCATTAGCCTTTGACCAAGCAATTCTAGGACTTTACCTACACAATTAACTAGAAAATGTACAGAGACGCTGATTGTAGCATTTTGTCCTCGGTCCTTATTGGGAGGGGGTTGATTATAAATTATAGTGTGTTCACATTACGTAGGTTGTGTTTAAAAGGAATGACCTCTTTTTCTAGGTTCTGGCATTAAGAAATGTCCATAGAAGCTCCTGGCTCAGTTAAGCGTCTGACTCTTGATCTCAGCTCAAGGGTCATGAGTTCAAGCCCCGCATTGGGCTCCACAGTGGTCAAGGAGCTTACCTAAAAAAAGAAAAAAAAAAAGAAAGAAATATCTATAAAAAATTATGTGAGTGAGACACATAGGTGGCTCAGTCGGTTAAGCATACAAATTCAGCTCAGGTCATGATCTTGCAGTTCATGAATTCGAGCCCCTCGTCAGGCTCTGTGCTGACAGCTCAGAGCCTGGAGCCTGCTTTGGATTCTGTGTCTCCCTTTCTTTCTGCCCCGCCCCCACTGTGTCTCTGTCTCTCTCAAAAATAAATAAACATGAAAGAAAATTTTAAAAAAAGATTAAAGAAATTATGTGAGTGAAAAAAGTCAAATTACAGCATAATATGTTTATAACCTATCTTAAAAATAAAGTGTATAATTTCATGTACACAATATAGTCATATTTATACATTATATAGACTAGCCATTCTGTATAGTGTGTAGACTATATAATACATATATATAACCTTTTATATGTTTTTATATTGGCTTATTATATGCACATGGCAAGAGGTATAAAAGTAACTACACCAGTATATGATAATACTGTATTATTGTGTATGACATTTCATACATTTTTATCTGAGGTTATAAGGGCATAGTGAGGAAAAGTATAAAAGTAACTATACTGGCCTGTGGCTGAGGGGCAAGTAAGGGAATTTTGGCTCCTTTTTTAACTTTATTTTTGTATTGCTTGTTTTTATAAGCTTAACTCCATTATCTAAATTTTTTTGAAAAGAAAGAGGAAATTGTAGTTTCAATGAAACCTTTTTCTTCTTCTTTCTAGAGCTATTCTTGGTATCATAATATTAGGTATCAGATATCATTAGCATATTTCTGTAGGCATTTTTTTCCCAGTGAGCTCTCTGCCCATTGTGGGGCTTGAACTCATGATCCAGAGGTCAAGAGTCACATGCTCTACTAACTGAGCCAGCCAGGCACACCTGTGGGCACATTCATTTATTTTCTTGTCATACTAAATCTCAGCTGTGCCCTCTCAGTGGTGAGGTGGGAGAGTGGCAAGAATATAATCTGTCTCTGGAAAAAATACCCATTATATCGTTCAGTTGGTTAAGCGTCTTACTTCAGCTCAGGTCATGATCTCACAGTTTGTGGGTTCGAGCCCCACATTGGGCTCTGGGCTGACAGCCTGGAGCCTGAAGCCTGCTTCACATTCTGTGTCTCCCTCGCTCTCTACCCCTCTCCTGCTTGTGCGCGCGCTCTCTCTCTCTCTCTCTCTCTCATAAATATTTAAAAAATATTTTTTTTAATACTCATTATATAATGAAAGTCTGGGGAAAAAAATTATTTTAAAAATATGCCCGCTTTGTAATCTTCCTCCTTTTTGTTCTGGGCTCACATCATTGTCCCTTTCCCCCTCAGTCATCTCTTAACTGCTTTGTCAGCTTAGTGAGGGCCTCCTGTGTGCCAGGCTTGGTGCTGGGCTGGAGGCAGAAAGGTAAGACGTGGTGCCTTAGAGGCTCGCAGTCTAGTGAGGGAGACGCATAGACATAGATGAATTCAGTGCTAAGTGATAAGGTAGGAGTCTGTGTAGGAGAGTGGCATGTGGCCCAACCTGAGAGTTCAAGGCAGGTTTTCTAAAAGACTAATACCTAAGACTTGGGCAACAGGTCAAGTTAGCCAGGTGAGTTAGCCAGGTGAAGGAGTGTGACAGGGGCATTCCGGGCAGAGGGAACGGTGTGAGCAAAGGGGAACAGACGCATGCAGAGCATCAAAAGTAGAAGACGACAGCGGGTAGTTGTTCTAGAGTGAGAAGACACAGGTGGGGAGCGGCAGGCGAGGCCGGAGAGGCCCAGTGGGCCCAGGTCATGGGTGGCCTCGTGTTCCACATCATGGAACTCAGAGCTTATTCAGCTGGTGATAGGTAGCCACTGAGGGTATCAAGCAGAGGTTTTTAGTTTCTTTGGTGACAGCGTAGAGAGCAGGCGAGTGGACTTCAGGGTTCAGGCGGAAGGAGAGTCAGGAGCTCAGGTTGGAGGTTGGTGACAGCTCAGATGAGAGGCATTGAGGGCCTAGCCGGCAGCAGTGGCTGTAAGCATGGAGGCGAGGCCTGGATGCAGCAAAGGTGTCAGGTCTGTGGAGGTGGAGGAGGGTGAAGGCACCGGGAAGACTCGAGGATAACTCTCTGGTGCCCTGCTTCTGCTCTCGCTTTTCTTCATCTAGCCTGTTGCCCACACCACAGATTCCATCTTGTTTGGCTGTGTTCGCCCAGTCTTCGCGATATCATTTCCCCTTTTCTGTGTTGCTCTCTTCCAGCCCAAACTATGCTGACGTTACCAAGCTCCACTCTGTTCCTGGCTCTGAGGCGTTGGGGATGCGAAGACCAGAGAGGACCTGGGTGGCTCCCCAAGTACAGGCCTCCTTGCTTGCTCCCTAGGACAGGCTGTGGGATTACCGGGCCTCGGTTGACATCCTGCCTTATTAGTAGAGTGACTTGGAGTTTCCTTTCATGTTCTCTGAATCTGTTTTGTAAGAGAAATGTGGATATAAAATACCTACCTGTTTGGGGTTATTGTAAGAAGTAGACACAGAAGATAAAGTTCCTAGGACTCCATAAGTGGCACTTAACTATTTTTTTTTCCTTTCTTTAACAGATTTATCATAGAATTCCCAGCTCAGACCCATCTTCTAGTAAAACAAGACAGATCATCTCCACCATCAGGACACAGAATCTTCCCAATTGTCAGCTGATCTCCCGAAGTCACTACTCCCCTATTTACCTGTCATTTGTCATGCTCTTGGCTGCCCTGAGCTGGCAGTATCTGAGCACCCTGTCCCAGGTCACAGAAGACTATGTTCAGACTGGAGAGCACTGATTGGGTAAGAGTGGGAGCTAATGCTCGCCGTGGAATAGACTGACCTTTCCTTCAAGGAAGGATGTTGGTTTCCCCCTCCCCCTCCATTTCCCTCCTGCTCTAATTCCTAAGAGAACTCTGTGGACTTGGACCTTTAGAAACTGTGACATGCAGTTGAGAGGATGACGATAAAAGGGAAGGATAGCTCACCCTCAGCTGGCAGGTACTTGTGGGCATGCTCACATCTGTGCAAGGTGGCCAACAGCCGGGTGCTCCTCGCTGCAGGGCAGAGGAAATGGTTGCATATGGGGTTGCTGAGAGATCTTATTTCGTGTGAGTCCTGGCTAGAATTCTAATGAAATGTATTTAATTTGAAGCAACCTCGGAATACATGTCCTAGCAGGAAGTGAATTTTTCTCGGTTTGGTTCTGATTTTTCTCATTTTGTTTTCTCTTCAGTTGATTTGAATGTGGCAGATGTCAGTGTTTGTAGCTCTAGGTGGTGGTCCCACGTTTCCTAAGAATGCAACTGTCTTCTGCACGTGAAGGCTAAGGATTCACTTCTGGGTGTTCTGGAATGGTTTCCTCATTTAAAAGGAGATTAGCTTTCCCAGAGAAACTGCAGGATTGCCTTTGGCTCCATTGTAGAAGACTGGCCTCCAGTCAAGGCTGACTTTTTGAGAAGACACTATATGTAAAGATACGTTTGTAAAAAAGAATGGAATTACTCTGCATTTGTCAAGGGCAGTTCACCTGAAAGCCTGGAGGTACATGGCAAATAACTCAAGAGCGGAGTTAGTGATCGAGGGCCAGGGGGCCTGGCCTGCCGCTGCCCGCAGAGCGGACCAGAGCGGTACCAGGAGCGAGGATCCAGCTGCCTGGCCCCAGCTCCACTGCGCCCGCCGGAGATGAGCAAGTGACAGCATTGCCTCACTGCCCAGCCTGTAACCTGCATTAACTCTGCCAACCTACTCTAAAGTGGGCCGATTCTCTTAGCCGCAGCAGATTTTATTACATCCAGGGGGCTTGTGGTTGTGGTTGTTGTTGTTATTGTTTTGTCCTTTGTTTCTGTTTTTAAAAAAAATCACGTTTATACACTGAAGTTTCAACAAAGACAAAAATGTTTTCAGGTGATGGGCTGGGAAGCCGAATGTACTTAGCCTAATTCTTCTAGCATCGCTCTTTGCCTTCTTCTTTACTCCCACGCAGCCGGGGTTGGTGATGTGTTCTCACCCAGTGACTCACCGAGAATCTCAGCCTGGACCAGGGAGGACCCCTCTCTAGGGGTGTTTGAAAAAGCCCCTCAAGCTGAGCAATCACTGTTGTAGGGCATTAAAGTGCTTTCTAGAAGCCATTAATGCTCTCCATGTACATAGTATATAGTCTACTCTTTTGCTGCTGTCCTTTGTGGATGGTGACTTAATCACCGAAGTTGAGGGTTTTCCCCAGCAATAATATTGGCCTTGCATTGTTATACGCACACCCACACTGATTTTCGTCCTGTGACTGCCGCCGCCTGACACAATGGCTTAGTTTTGGTCTGTGGGAGCTGCAGTTGGTTGATTGGTTTGGGGCTCAGTTCTGGACAAACTTGTCACCACACTGAAGCCAAAGTCCTTTGCCACCTGGAGTACAGCTGTGAGCCGCACTCAACAGTAATTTCCCAAGTAATTTAAACATCGGAATTTGGTTAAAGATTCCAAGGTAGGTTGTTATAAATTTGTGCGTTGAAGTATCAGATTAGTTCTGTCCTGTGTAGAACACAGGACAACTTGGTGGAGAGCCTTGGTCGGAGGTGGATGTACCGGAAGTTTTCCTCCTGGCTCACTTGTGACCTGTGCGACTTTCTAAGCTTCTGTAAGGTTTATTAGATGACCTTCTAGGTCCCTCCCGACTGTAAAGCTGTGGAATTTTTCCTATTGCTGACTTGTGCCAAGGTCTTAGCTCTACTGTCCACTCCTGAGTGCTTTGGAAGACCATTGCCCTTCTGTTTCTCTACTTAAATTGCCACGTAAAATACAGGATACGCAGTTAAACTTGAATTGCAGACATAATAGTGTTTTTTAGTAGAATTATGTCCCCCAAATTGTATGGGACATACTTTTTTCTTTTAATGTTTATTTTGAGAGAGCATGTGAGCGAGAGGGGGAAGGGCAGAGAGAGGAGAGAGAGAATCCCAAGAGGGTCCTGCACTCAGTGCGCAGAGCCAGACACAGGGCTCCATCTCACAAACCTTGAGATCATGAGAGCCGAAATCAAGAGTCAGACGCTTAACCGACTGAGCCATGCAGGTGCCCTGCACAGGATATATTTCTACTAAAAAATTACTTGATCTGAAATTCAAATCTAATTAAGCATCCTTTATTTTTGTTAAATCTGGCCACCTCACTCTGCTCCACGCTAATTATTCATCAAATATTTAGCATCTCTGGCCTATAGTCTACTTGATTTCTACTTACAGTGAAGTATTTTTTAGCTTTTCCTCAGAGGAGGATCTGACCCATCTGAATCTAAAATTCCATTATAATAGACCTGAGCAGGAACCTGCTCTCCACACTCTGGGAGCTTCTAGAGCTCCAGGTAAGGCCTGTGCAGACACACAGAGCCACCTATCTCCCTTTGGGAAAGTGCTTGGAGCAATTACCCAGAAGCCCATTCTATCAGAACCATTTCTCTGGGTCCGGCATGCACATGTGCATAGGGGAGGAGACATGGCTAGCCATTTGTTAATTATTCTTAGCAGCAGAGCTCTAAGGCTGTGGTTCTCAGCCTTTAGCATCAGAGTTGCCTGAAGGTCCCAGATTGCTAGGACCATTTGTCTCTCAGGTCTGGGGCAGTACCCCAAAACTTGCATGTTAAGCTCTCAGGCGATACAAATACCGCTGCTGGACAGGAGCCCAGTTTGAGAACCACTGCTCTAAGGCCTTATTCTTCAAACTTGAGTGAACATATTGAATTACCAGGAGTCTTGTTAAATTACAAATGCAGACTGAGGTCTGGCCCAAATTCTGCATTTCTGACAAGCTAGGTGATGGCCATGCTTTTCAAGTGTAGCTATCTGATGTATGTGAAGAGTGGGACAGGTTCAACTGTGTGCTCAGATGCGAAGTCTAAACTAAAATCACACCCTTCTCCAGGGAATAAACGAAAAGGCACAGACGGTCACTTCCATCTATCAGGACAGGCACCCCAGGAAAACATGGCACCAATTGAACTGAGGTGACAGGGTGGTGGTCAGTGAGGTAATTTGAGGTTTATGAAATAATTGACATCGATTCCAATCCTAAATAGACATTGTTTTATTTTCCAACAAAGACTCAAGCTGACCCTGAGGATGCCATGAAGTTCATTTGGGTACTTCGTTTTAGGGCAGCTCTTTCGCCTTCCAGGGGGGAGGATGGGCTGCAGGTGGGCACGTGGCAGACAGGATGGAAACGGGATCATTCAACTCCATTTGGAGAGCAGGTCGAATTTGTTAGAACTACATTGAGGTTATGAATGTCTTCTGATTGCAATTTTAAGAATAAAGCGATTGCAAAATTTGTGGCTTTGGTAGCCTTTGTTAAACACTTCTGAAATATGTCGGGTTTCATAAATTTTCCCTTCAGTATTCACCGGGTGTAAGAGCTTATTTGATGATGCAGTTTTGGATTCCTTGTTTTTAATGTTCATTTATTTTGAGAGAGTGCGCAAGCTGGGGAGGGGCAGAGAGAGCATGCCATCCAGGCTCCGCGCCATCAGTGCAGAGCCCAATGAGGGTCTCGATCCTGAGAGACACGAGATCATGACCTGAGCCAAAATCAAGAGTCAGAGGCTTAGTTGACTGAGGTACCCAGGTGCCCCTCTGATTCCTAACTTGCAATTCACATCAAAAGTCACACTTTCCATGCTTCTGGAGTGAGTCTACCTCTCAGGGAAAGAAGTCACGTGTTGATAGGCCAGTGGGATGGCTGCAGTTTCCCCCGTTCCCAAGAACTGGTACGCATCTTTGCTTAGGATTCTTAACTAGGCCCATGCAAAGCCACGGTTCTTAACCAGCAGTGTAAATCAGAGACCTAGGGAACTGAGAATATGACACACAGGCTCTGCCTCCATCCCGTTCCCTGTATCGTTCCAATTTTAGTATATGTGCTGCCGAAGCGAGCACTCCATCCCGTTCCAACATCGGAGGGGACCAGGGAAAGCCGGTCCTCCGCTAGGACACCTGGGTCACGGCATCACTGATACGCCATTGCTTGTGTGAATCCTCACACAGGTCACTGCTGGCCTGTAGCTGGTAAAATGCGGAGTATGGCTTTATTCTTAGCTCTTTAAGCAGGGGCAGAGTTCATCAGGGCTTGAGGCAATTTAGGGGATGAATTTACAGAACAGGGTGGATGAAAACGGCAGAGGCCTAAGAAGAGAGAAACTGGTTTGAAAGTGCAGCTGGGGCAGCGAGGAGTTAAAGTAGGCATTTATCTAGTTTCCCCTAATTGAGGCAAGAGACACCCGGTTAGAGTTTCAAGGACCCCCAGATGCAGGAAAATGTTGATTCCACGGGATAAGGACAGACAGCAGCTCCGAGTCTACAGACAGCGGGATCCCCACCAGAACACAAGGCTTCACGTTAAGGGAGCAAACTTTTATTGGCACCGTCATTCCTTTCCTTGTTAAATTAACAGAGTGAAGCAGTGATTTTTTAAACGGTTAAAGCTGGCTTCTCCCAAACGGGCTCCACTGTGTCAGGCTGATAGGCCTATTCGCTCACGACCACCTGGTTTTGTTGTAAGGAGACAGCCTGTGAAGCAGGCCAGCTCTTCCAAAAAGTTTCCTCATTTGTCCGTATGACCAGCTGAGGTGCACAAAATTAAAAACCCCTATTTAAAAAGGAGCCATGCCACGGAGAAGACCAGAGAGGGGGTGCAGCACTGCAAAGCTCAAGGGATGCAGGGCCCTGGGAGAACAACTTTCTCCAGAGAGCTGCCGCACTATTTTCCTCCTCAACTTACTCCAAATCTAGAAAGTTCTCGCTCAGAAGTACTGCCGCTGGTGGCAATCTGTCTTGTGAGGAACTCCACTTCCTATTCCTGTGGAAAGCCTACACAGGCCCATGTGGATGTTTGTCTCGCTCCCTGGTGCACGCGGGTTGGGGGAGGCGGGGGGGGGGGGGGGGGGGGGGGGCGGCGTGGAGGTGGCGGCCGCAGGAGTCGGAGCAGCAGGCACTATGCGCAGCACTAGTCTACGGGGGAGGCCTCGCCGTGCCTGCAGCGGGCGCTGACGTGGGCTAAGTGTGCACTGTGACAGCAGGTCCACTGAACGGGCCGGAAGGTGGCAGGCTTCGGATGTGTCTCCTTGGAAGACAGTCTGACGGTAGACACGAGGTTTGGCCCAATCCTTCAGGCCCTGTCCAAAACCTCTTGTATCTCAACTGAATGCAAAGAATAAAAGACATTCCTACCCTCCGTTACCAGCCCAATTGGCTCGATTTAGGGAAAAACTGCCCCGGGGCTGGCAAGACCAGTGCCACAGCAGATTAGATCCTTTTCCAGTACTGCTCAGTGCATGGGATTCCAGCCACAACTTCCGATTCGATTCCACAGTGATCCCGTCCCCGGAGGATTTTAAAGAAGCCTGGGAAGCAAAAGTAATATGCCTTTAAAGTGTGCCTTGGGTTTTGGTCCTTGTCAACATATTCAGACTCACCCCAGAAACACCTAGGAGCGGCAGACCCCAACCCAGCCCTAAAGCAAGCATCAAATCGGCATCGAGGTGCCCTATCGATGTCTACTGTTTGCCCAGGAGCCTGGCACCACATCGTGAGGCCTCTGGACACCACTTCCAGTGGACCCCACATAAACCGGCTCTGCGCCTGGGGCGAAGGGGGAACTGTGCGGGCACCAGCGACCTGAAGCTGTCACCTGGTTCACACCACCCTCTCAGGATCAGAGTCTACCCTTATGGCAAGGGAACCCCCAGCTCACTAGCACCCAGAAACCTGAAGGCTCACAGCTGAGTCCCGGGCCTAGTGTTAGGAGCTGTGCAGCAGCTTTTCAGCTGAGCAGAAAAGGACAAGAGGACCACTACGTGCTGGCTCACCACACCCTCCTAGCAGGAAGAGGGCTGCCACTCACCATTGTCGCCCCAGTCAGTGTTCCAGGAGTTGCCAACCAGCCAGTAAGGTGTGTCATTCTCCACGCCCCAGCCCAGGATGCGGACAGCATGGCCTCCCATCATTTCTCCGGTGACGTGCTGGTACACGCCTAAGGGAAAGCCCATTCAGGTAGAGACCAGGCCGATGCCCCATTTCCCACTGCATCCCTGCACCTCAGCCAGCTACCTGTCAGGACAAATGGGGTCCAGAGGGCCCAACGAGCCCTCCCAAAGAACTGCTTGCAAACAGGGTAGTATAAGAGGCCTGGTGTTCTCCCAGAAGGCTCCAGGGGCTCCCACAACATTCGGAAAGTACTTAAATAGGTTTTTGAAAGCCCAACACTCAAATATGTTGAAAAAATATTAAAATGGGGGTCCCAACAAAATACGCTTCTTGGTCACCTTTAAAACTAAAGTTACGGGGCGCCTGGGTGGCGCAGTCGGTTAAGCGTCCGACTTCAGCCAGGTCACGATCTCGCGGTCCGTGAGTTCGAGCCCCGCGTCGGGCTCTGGGCTGATGGCTCGGAGCCTGGAGCCTGTTTCCGATTCTGTGTCTCCCTCTCTCTCTGCCCCTCCCCCGTTCATGCTCTGTCTCTCCCTGTCCCAAAAATAAATAAACATTGAAAAAAAAAATTTTTAAAAAACTAAAGTTACAAATTCTAATTTAAGGAAAAAATGGAAATGTTAACAAACCAGTTATCTGTTCTACATACTGGGACTCCACGTAAGGATTTATTTGTCAAAAGGGTTCTATAAAACTTAAAAGAGTTTTAACTGCTGCCCTGGGATACACGCAGAGGAGAAGTAGGAGACAGGCCGGATCGGTGGCGGCAAGCACTGATGGATGAAGAAAGATACAGGCGGAGGTGCCCATGGGCCTGTCAAGCAGGCCATCCCCTCATTGGTGAATCACTTTGTCAAATGAAAATGCATCCTTTTGTAATATGGGTGGGGACTGTTAAAAACTGCCAGCTTTATAACTTTTTCCTTGCCAGAATCATCTTTATCCAATGAGGTTTCATAAAAGTTGAGAGGTTTGAAGTTTTCCATCTGGCACAATGTAAATGAGACCGAAGTGGTCAGCTATAGACCGTTCATCTAGAATGGGGGGTTTCTAAGAGGGCTCTTGGGCCAGGGGCTGTCCTCATTCCCCGGGTGAATCCCCACAGCCTCCCACACGGCCAGGTGCTTCCTGTCTTCTCATCCACTGAATGTGAGGCATGATCTGGGACGTGGCCAGGACAAAATGAGGTCTTCTTCCTTGATAGAGTCCTGGTGGTCCCCCGGAACCCAGACCTCCTCTGCTCCCACTGCCATCAGAGGGGCCAATACATACCAGACTTGTACAGCAAGAAGTCCGAAAACACAGAGAAGGCCGCCTCTACAGGGCCATTTTTGTAGATCTCCGCCATGATCTCTTTCTCACTGTTGGACACGCTGTAGGAATTGCATCCTGGCAAATGAATCAGCCGAGTGGGGGTGAGGCGTGCTTCCCACGGTTCCCTCAGTCAACTATGCACTGACTTAAAGGGGGATTCGCCCAGCCTAGGGGGTCAGGGAAGGCTTCTGCAGGGGAGAATGATGGAATTGGACCCGGAAGCCAAGAAGTGGGAGAGCAGAGCTCTGTATCGGGAGGGGCAGTGAGCAGGAGACCCTGGAAGAAGGGTAGAGTGGCACCCAGAACGATTCTCGGCCAGATTACTCCTCTGTAAAGCGAGGGGTCTGGTCCCTCCCCACTCAGAGGGTCTGTGACTCTCAAACAACAGGAATCCTGAGGCCAAATTCAGGGTGGAGACATGCAGAAATGCAGCATGCTGCTCCCTCTGACAGGAGAGTCCTTCATAACTTTCCTTTCTCCATCCTGCGTTCCTGACTCAGACTCACTTGCCCTGGCCTCTCCCTTTCTCCGGCCTGGGAAGGGTGTCGGCAGGTCCCCGGGCCCGGGGTGCTGGGTAGTAGCCCAGGCCCCACCTTACCGTAGTGCTTGTCTTCTTTGTAGGATGGCGTGTAGCCGGGCTCACAGATCTTGCTGCACTTGGGGGTGTCCCCCTCTCCTGTGCATGGGGGCCGGGAGCCATTCACGTGGTGCTCACAGGGAGGGATGGAGTAGGGTCTGCAGCCTGGGGGGGACCAAGTGGAAAGGAGGGTGTCAGCCGACAGCTTCTTCAGAAGCCCCTTGAAGCAGAGGGCAGAGCTGGGGCGACAGGGGCAGTAGGTCAAATACACAGCACTCCCCACACTGTGCTAACTCTGCCTTCTTCTCCAGCCTCCTGCCCTCCACCCTCAACCGTCACTTTGTAATGCACAATGAGCCTGTTACTGTTCTTTGATATAAAATCCATCTAGCCAGATACGCGCTGATGGCAGACACTCACCTACATGGGAATCATAGAGGCCACCAGAAACCAGGCCTTGTTTTGTCCAGAAGTTCCAAGCTTCGGCAGGAAAGCCCCCATTACAGCTGAGAAAAGAGCCATCCATTAAATTCACTGTGAGAGAAGTTGTAGCTGCTCCCAGACCACTGCCTGAGGCCCCAGGGTTGCAACCGGCCCAGCAGCTCTCCTGGGTCTCAGCCAACCCCACTCATCCCCTCCTTGGCTAGTCACTTCTTCCAGGGAATCACCACCACCATCCTCAACAAGTCGGAACGACTCTCTTCTTCCTGTCTACCCCTAACTAGGCTGTGTCCTTCCTGGAACACGGAATGCACATTGCAATTCCCTGGTGTTTTAATACAGAAAATGCGAAGGCCAAGGACTGGTGTGAGGTGAGGCCTTGGCACGGTTTTTTAAACTCCCAGGTATTTCTAATCTGCAGCCACATCAGAGAACCACGTTATAAAACCAAGGCCAGAGCTGGCAAAAAGGCAGGCACCCATCATTCTTAATTACAGAAAACAGACCCCAAGGCTATTACATTTCCTTCAGCAAGAAGAGGGAACAAAGACGACAAAAACCAGGCCTGAGATCTGAAACTTAATCACATATTCCAAGACCATCTGTGTTGTGCCTGGACCCCACCACCCACACCCAGCACTGTGGGGTCAGCCCAGTTTTAGGCGGCTCCCAGAAAAGAGCAGTCACGCCAGGCCTGCTTCTGGACTCCCCAGGTCCCCAAGATGTCCCAGCAAAGGACCGTTATCTGACCTGCAAGTACCACTCCTGTCCTCAGGGAGCCCTCAGCCGCTGTCCAGGAGGCCTCGGCCTGGGGGCTCCCAGTGCCATTCCCGGGGGCCCCGCTCCCACAGTGGAGGATGCTGCTTCAGACTCACCCATCCCCACACTGGTCACCACAGCAGGTGAGCATGTCCTCGGCGGACACCTCCACATTGACGTGGCCATTGGTGAGGATGCAGATCCGGTCAGAAATGGCTTCCACAGCCCCAAATGCCTGCAGGAAAACAAGCCCCACGCAGGTGAGCCCCACTCCTGGACTGTGGGCCCCACCGGCCACCGTCCACAGCGTCAGAGGACCACAGCAGGCGGCTCAGACCTTGCTGACTAGTCTCTCCCAAGGTCAGTGAGGGTCTTGGTGCTCAAGCTGGTCTTTAAAGTTAGGAGACCCATCTACCCCACATCTCTATCTGGTCACTCAGCTCATTTCTAAAATGTGGTTTCTGTTAACAGAAAAAACAGCTCACACAAAGGACAAATACTGTATGATTTCACTAATACAAGGTATCTAGGCTGGTCAGTAAGAGACAGAAAGGAGAGGGGTGGTTGTTGGGGGGTAGGGAACGGAGGGGCAGTGTTTAATTTCCACACTTACAGATGACAAGAGTTCTATGGATGGACGATGGTGATGCGTTCACAATAACGTGAATGTACTTAACGCCACTGAACAGTACACTTAAAAATGGCTAGGACAGGGGCGCCTGGGTGGCTCAGTTAAGCATCTGCTTCAGCTCAGGTCATGATCTCGCGGTCCGTGAGTTCAAGCCCCACATCGGGCTCTGTGCTGACAGCTCAGAGCCTGGAGCCTGCTTCAGATTCTATGTCTCCCTCTCTCTCTCTGCCCCTCCCCTGCTCACACTTTCTCTCTCTAAAAAATAAATGATTAAAAGAAAAACTTTTAATTAAAAAAATGGCTAAGGTAGCTCAGGTCATGATCTCACAGTTCATGGTTTTGAGCCCCAGCTCAGGCTCTGTGCTGACAGCTCAGTGCCTGGAACCTGCTTTGGACTCTGCGTCTCTCTGCCCCTTGCTTGCTTGTGCTCTGTCTCTGTCTCTCAAAAACGAATAAGCGTTAAAAAAAATTGCCGACCAAAAATGGCTAAGATGGTTAATATACCATGTGCACTTTACCACAGTTAAACAAAATTAAGACAGCTCATTGACAGAGATGGATGTTTCTCCACGAAGCAGAGTAGGAGTCTAATGGTGCTTGCTGATGGCCTGGGACAGCGCATCAAACAGAAAAATAGACAGCCTCACAGCACACACACGGGCCACCCAGGGCACTTTGTGTATCTATCTATTCTTCCACCACAGATCTTCATAATTTTTATGTTGACAGAAACGAAGGCTCAGCAAGTTCCCATAACTTGGCTAGTCACGGCTGATCTGACAGCTGTCCCCCCGCCTCACTCCAGCCCCTCTCACCCAGCAGGAACCACAGGAACCCTGGTCTCGGATCTCTTTGATGGTCGGGCAGTTAGGCCAGTGTTCCCGGGCATCGAAGTTTTCAGGCAGAACCATGTCCTCGGCAAACGAAACTCTAGATAAAGGAAGGCCTCCGTGACAAGCTTGCATGTCACAAACCACCCCCACCCCTAAAGAGGCCAGTGACTTCGGGCCAGGCCACCGCCTGGCAAGGGAGACACAAGGGAGACAAGCCCAAGATGATGGCTGCAGGGCTGTCCCCTGGGAATTCTGTAGAACCAAACCAGGAATTCTACTGCTCAACACAGCTTCTCATTCCCTATGCTGTTTTCCAGTCTTATTTTCTGGGGTATCTTTCAAGAGTTTTGGCCACAAAGTCCACAAAACTTTGTTTCGTCCTCCCCTAACCCGCCCCACACAGGGTCTGCCCAGGGTCCTTGCATCAATTTTAGTATCTTCACCACCGTGTTAAGTCTCATAGCCTTTCCATCTGTGTTGTCAGAGATTTCTAATGCTTCTCACAAGAGTAATGTCTACATGAAAATGCCCACTGCAGAGTTCTCTAGAAAAAAATGGAACATTAATGGAGATCATATGACTTTTCTTAAATTCTCCTTAAACCATTTAAGACTGGGTCTATCCCGGTCATGCAGAACCAGACCTGGGGCCTTTTCCACTGGGGCTCTGAGACACCTGCAGCAGCACAAAACACGGGCACCGGGGGCTGAGCCCTGTCAGGTGGCGTCCTTGCGGCTCTGGGAGGGGGAGACCTGTAGGTGCCAAGGCCTCCTTTCTTCCCTCCTTCCCGCTGTGCCAAACACACACCTGCGGTTCCCATGGCAGCGGGGCAGGTGCAACAGAGTATCTATTCCCCAGGGAGCAGGCACTCACCTCTGGGGCAACTTGGGCCCACCCAGGATGGTGCCGCACAGCCTCCTCAGGTAGCTCGGCTCCACATGGTAGAAGTTGTGTCCAGCCTGGAAGAGAGCCCCGCCCGCAGCAGTTAACAGAGGGGGTGTCTAGGGATGCGGGTGGATGGAAGTATGCACACCGCCCACATGCAACGCCTGACAAGGCCAGGGCTCCCATCCAGCTCAGCAGAGCGAGGCGGGTTGGGGCCCTCTTAGAGAACACACGTGTCCCCAAATTCGTGGTGAAACCTAACCCTTGATGGCACCTGGAAGTGAGGCCTTCGGGAGATGATTAGGTCATGAGGGTGGAGACTTCATGAATGAGATTAGTCTCCTTACAAAGGAGACCTCAGAGAGCTGGCCTGCCCCTCCCACTAAGCGAGGACACAATGAGCAGTCACCCATCTGCAACATAAGAGTGCCCTCCCTAGAGCCCAACCATGCTGGCGCCCTGAAATTGTACTTCCAGCCTCCAGAACCACAAGCAATACTTTTCTATTTATAAGCCACCCAGTCTGTGGTATTTTGTTACAGCAGCCTGAAAGGACAAGACAGGCACCCTGCAAGCAGGCCACGATCAGCCCAGAGCGAGCCACACGGGCAGTGCACAGCTCCCAGGCCAGTGGGTGTCTCCTCTGATCTGCTATGTATACTGATGTCAAGAGAGACGCTCTGCAGCCCTGAACGTGGCTTATTCCTCATTTCTTAATTCCTGAAGCCCCAGAGCTGTGGGCCAGCCAGAATCGAGGTGCTGCCACTACTGATGAGCACTAGCACCTACCATGGTGGGGTTCAGGGTCTTCCTGATTGTGAACCCTTCCAAAGCTCGTTTATCACCCAGTGCACTTCTGTGGATACATACACACACACACACACACACAGGGAAGGGAGCAGGTAGGCATGGGCCTGAGTGGCCAGGACTCTCAATCAGACCAACTGTCCAGGACAGAGTGTTCTGTGGGCCACAGCTGCAGCCACCTCCCTCGGGAGTCAGAATGCACAGACCGATCCCCAAAAGGGACACGCACAGAAGTCCCCACAGCCCACCTTCCATGTAGTGTTACGCTTGTTAACATAGTCGACCAGCTCATCCGACAGGAGCTGGAGAGGCGGTCTGCTCTGGGCATTGGTCAGCACCACCAGGCAGCTAAGAGTGGCCAAGAGCTGCCACATTTTGGATGCTGGATCTTAGAGTCACCTAGAAAAGAAAACACACAAGACATCAGGACACTTCTTTCAGTTCAAGTGCTTAACATACACAAGGGTGCCATCTCTGATGGCATGGTTCCAGGGCCAGAAACAACCCAGTAGTCAAAACACCCACGTCCCCTTCCCGGCTCTGCCATCTCTGCCCCCTTCTGTTCCTCAGTGTCCTCTCCTGGAAAGCTTGGGTGTGGTGGCAGACAGCCCTCAAGGACCATGGGCTCCCAGGCCTCGTATCATCAAAATCCCAACCTATGCCCACATCACAGGGCCGTGCCATGGACTGAACGTCCGTGCCCCCCAGCCCCCCAAATTCATGGTGAAATCCTAACCCCAATGTGGTGGGATTACGAGGTGGAGCCTGTAGGGGGTGATCAGTCAGGAGGATGGAACCCTTGTGATGGAACTAGTTTCTTATAAGACACCCCAGAGAGCTCCCTTTCCCTTCGGCCATGTGAGGACTCCACAAGAAGTTTGGTGACCTGGAAGAGGGCCCTCATCTGACCATCCCGGCACCCTGACCTCAGACATCCCCCCATCATCCAGAACCAAGAAACAAATTTCCGTTCAGAAGCCACCCAACGTGCAGTATGTGTTGTAGCAGCCAACGGGCTAAGACGGACTGTATTTGCTTCTCCTCCAGATGCCTGGGAGACAGGACAGAGAAAACCACATGGCTGCATTGCAAGCGGCGAGGCCCTTTTGCAGCTGCGTCCTGGTGATGCATGTGGCCTGGGTCTCGGGGGCTGTCCTCAAGCTGTGTCTGAGTCACTGCTGTTCCCTGGATGGTCTGTGGCTATCTTGGGAGCCGAGAGGATGGGGCGCGCACTGACCCTCTGCCTGTCATAACCCCAGGGCCCAGGCCACAAAGCAGGATTAGTGACTCCACGAAACACATCAATGAACGCAGATACTAAGGCTAAATTGAGTTCAGTGCCCTCCCTACTATTGCCAAACTGCCTCTCCATGGGTCTGTAGAACCAAGTCTTGGAGACTTTTTTCCAAGTCAGTGCTCTGAAAGAGTCAACAGCCTCTGAGATTAGGTCCCAAGTAGAGGCCCAATGAGAAAAGAAAAATACAAAAGAAAATACATTTCATGAGCCACATTCTGGATATAGAACAAGCAAAACACAAGTGAGCCAAGCCCAGCGTGTGCCAAACTCAGCAGAACCAGGGAAGCAGGGCTGGTTTGGCCAGTGGCACAAGTCTGAGATTTTTCTCTGGTTTTTCCAGTCAGCCAAGGGCTCTGTTTCCTGGTTCAAAGTGGGAGCTCCCGAGAAGGGAAATCATCCCATTACAACCACAGTCCTTAGATCTTGGACTGGCTTGCAAGTCAGGAGACGGGCAGTTTCCTGCTCGGCCTCTGAATCACGCTCTTAGGCAAGCAGCTCTAATGAAAGCAAGAAATGCTCTTCTGGGTGTCACAGCACCATGGGGCCTTGTGAGATGCCCACACAGTGGGGAGTGGCGGCGGTGGGGAGAGGGGGAGGATTTCCTGTCCCTGACCTCTGGGGCTTCCAGAGTGACCCACCTCCTCCGGGGTCATTGGGTTACAGGAAGATGCACTGAACATGCCGCCTCCCACAGTGAAGTACGTCAGAGGGAAGATTGAAACTTGATGGCTGCCTCAGCAACAATTCATCCCAACGAATAACTATGATGGCAGCAAACGATTCTAGAAAAGAGCACTGATGGAGGCTTGCTTTCTGAGATAGTCGGTACATTATAAAACCCTGGGTGACTCCTGCCTGAGAACAGTCTGGTCAACAAAACAGACCATTCAGAAGCATCTCCTATGTGTGGGTGCTCAGCGTATGTGGTATAGGTGGGTGAGGAAACAGCACGTGTCATAAATGGTGCTTGCACATCTGCATCTTGGAAAAAATAGTAAGGCTGAACGTTTACACTTGGTTTCTCACACACGAGAAGCGCTACACGGAACAAAATTCTTGAATTAAAACAGAAGCCGTATGAAGAAAATAAACGCAGTTTAAACAACCTATTATCGGAGTAAGATACTTAAGACTGACGTAAAACCAAGGGACAAGGCTTGCTTATGTAAAAATAAAGCCACTCTTCTTTCAACGTTTATTTATTTTTGGGACAGAGAGAGACAGTGCATGAACGGGGGAGGGGCAGAGAGAGAGGGAGACACAGAATCGGAAGCAGGCTCCAGGCTCTGAGCCATCAGCCCAGAGCCCGACGCGGGGCTCGAACTCCCGGACCGGAAGATCGTGACCTGGCTGAAGTCGGACGCTTAACCGACTGCGCCACCCAGGCGCCCCTAAAGCCACTCTTCTAGAAAACAAAATAAAAAGTGACCAGCTACAAAATAGTACTTACATATACGCAAAGCTTCATTTCCTTAATATGCAAAAGGCGCCTAAAAATCTGAATAAAAACAGGGGTGGCTCAGTCGGTTGAGCATCTGACTCTGACTTCAGCTCAAGTCATGATCTCATGGTTCGTGGGTTCGAGCCCCATGATGGGCTCCACGTGGGGATTCTGTCTCTCCCTCTCTCTGCCCCTATCCTGCTCATGCTTCCTCTCTCCCCCTCCTTCTCTGCTTCTGTCTCCCACAAAATAAAAAACTTAATAAACTTGAAAAAGAAACCTGAAAAAGCAGAATAAAAAAGTGGCAAATGGACACACACAATGAAGTATAGGAAAAAGAACTACAAATGGCCAGCAGATATTAAAAGATGCTCCACCACAGGGAGGTACAGATAAAATTAAGGACTGGCAAAGGCAGACAGCTGGACAGCTCCTGGGGGGTGGATTAGGCGTGGGGAGGCAGAGGTGCTGCGCTTATGAACCCCATGGAGACGACTGGCCTGGCTTTTTGTTTTTTTAAAATGTTTATTTATTTTTGAGAGAGAGAGCATGAGCAGGAGAGGGACACAGAGAGGGGGAGACAGAGAATCCAAGGCAGACTCCAGGCTCTAAGCTGTCAGCACAGAGCCCGAAGCAGGCCTCGAACTCATGAGCGGTGAGATCATGACCTGAGCCCAAGTCGGATGCTTAAGCGACACCACCCAGGCGCCGCCCCCCACCCCCACCATTTCTATTAATTTGGCCATCTGCACACACTTTGACTCAACAATTTGACACTCAGAAATGTATCCTACGAGCTTCAAATTCACAGATATAGGTATACAGATGTTTACTGAATATTCTTTGTATCACAGAAGACCAGAAACAAAGCAAGTGTCTACTAACCGCAACTGTGAAGTTACAGTAAATGATTAATAGAATACAAAGTAACCATTAAGATAGGAACTAGCTGAAGCGAGAATCACATTGTACTGATAAGCAAATAAGCCCAAGATACCCGTAAGTGGAAAAAAGCAAGCAGCTGGTGAGTCATGGTAAGCGTGTGAGACCATGAAGCAATATACATTCACATTACCGTTACCACATGTAAAACATAAGGAAAAACATATGAAAGCAATATCTGTGGCGGGGAGATTTATTTTCCACTAACCCCCCCCCCCTTTTTTTTTAATTAAATCAACATATTATATTCAAAGTTTTGGTCTTTTAGGAAGAGTAGCCGGAGCTACCAAAACCCCTGAGCCCAAAGGCACTTCCAGTTGATTTCCAGTCAACAGTGAGGCCTTCTCCCTAGTGACTTTCTGCTCAAAACACAGAACACCTTCTTTCCAGTGACTCACAGGGAGGCTGGTGTTCACCAGACCACATCAGGGACCCACGTGACCTCCAACTGTTAGGTGAATGTCTATGTCCTCACATGGCAGAAGGGGCAAGGGAGCTGAGGTCTTTTTTAAAAATTTTTTTTAAGTTTAATTTGAAAAAGAGAGAGAGGGAGAGAGAGAATCGCAAGCAGGCTCCATGCCATCAGTTCAGAGCCTGATGCGAGGCTCAGACTCACCAACCTCAAGATCACGACCTGAGCCAAAATCAAGAGATGGATGCTTAACCGACTGAGCCACCCAGGCACCCCTGAGGTCTCTTTTAGAACTTCTGGGCAAAGAAGCAAAGCAGTCAGATTCCTTCCTTTTTCACGACACCCTCTGAATTACAGCCGGTACCTTCACATTTTCCCCAGATGTAAGAACCTGGCGCACAAACACTGGAGTATACACTCTGGGCACGTGGGCATTGAGACCCATGCCAGCAGGTTGAGACCTGAAGAGCCCATCAGAATCACACCCTATCCTCGGCTTTCACTGTGACCTGTCAGGCAGGGGTGACAGGAATGTGGCTGGGTCCTGAGCCAGGCCCAGGTGAATGCTCCCTATATGTCTCCAGGTGGCCCCCGGGGCTTAGCCATCTGCTGAGATATTGCATCATAGGCAAGTGGAGAATGGGAGCAATTCCATGGTAGCTTGGACTTTACACAAGATTCCTCTGGTTTTTCTGGTGGCAGAGACCACAGCCACGACCCATTTATCAGACGGTTCTCAGTTCCTGCACTGACGGCTGCCATGGCCATACCCGGGCCTAATTCCTGAGGTCTGCCAGGCCCCCCAGATGTGACGCTTTGGTGCACTTGCCCCTTTCTTTCGGTTCCACAGGCCCTCCTCTAAATTTCCTATTAACTTCATTCTCCCTACTCACAACTCTGTGTCAGGAAGAACCAGGGGCCCCAGTGAACTTCAGAGATGTGAGCCTGGAGGGCAGGAGCTCATCTTGAACCAGATTCCCAGCCCCACTAGGACTGAGCACTTGGGAAACTCCTCTTTTCAGCCCAGCCCTCCAGGCACAGGGCTGTGGCATTCGGTGGAAAGTCGGGGTTGAAGTGGTTAATAGCTGCGGTAGCCTGTGGGGCGGAGGAGCACTGGGCTTGGAGTCAGGAGACCTGGATTCAGATCTTCCACTTACTAACTGTGCACCCTTGAGTACCAACCTGTACTGAGCCTCAGTTTCACCACCTGTAAGATGGGGCTAATGACCATTCATTGCTCCAGGTGGAAATCAAGAGTGTCATGAGGGTGGGCAGAAGCCCC